AGCTAGAAGTAAGAATGGTTATATTGGAGTGACTTGTTCTTTTATTGATAATAATTTCAAACTTTGTGAAGCTATTTTAACAATTCAATATATACTATATTCCCATATTAGATATAATATTTGTAATGTATTAACTGAAATTATCTCAGATTGGAATTTAACTAAAAAAGTTTTTACATTAATAACAGATAATGGATTAAATATGATCAAAGTAGGAGCATTGATGACTGAACTTACACAACTTACTTGCAGCACACATATACTTCAATTAGTTATAAGAAAAGGATTACTACCAGTTGAAGTTTTAATTGCAAGAGCTAAATATTTAATTAATTTTTTTACTACATCTAAACAAATAGAAAAATTAATAGAAATACAAAAAAATAATAGTCATAAATTTTTAAATTGTAAACTTGATTGAATAACTTTATTGATATTTTTATTATTATTTAATAAAATATAAAATTTGAAAAATATTCATGAATATTTGTGATTAATTTCAGATGTTGATATCACCTGTTGGGAGAGCAAGGAGGCAAGTACAACAAGTGCTTGGGTTTAGTCCAGTAGTTATCAGTGAGTTTTGGGAGTATAGAAAGACAAATAAATATAAAGTAACTAATTTTCTATACTATAAGGTAATAAAGGTAAAGAAACTAGATAAAACAAAGAAAGAACAAGTTAAAGGGGAGATAATGAATACAGAGAAGAGAAAATATGACAAATTCCAGTTCGATAATAATAAGGAATAAAATAAAATAATTTCGTTAGGACTTTGTAAAGATTTTGAAGGATGGATAAGTTTAAAAAATGAAGAAAGTGAGTTCTGACTAAGTCACGTGACAGTTTGAACGAGGAATTAAAGATCAATAGTTTATTTAAGACTCTAGATTATACATATTCCTAAAATTGATTTTGGATTTTTGAGGTATTTCGACTTTTTGTGATTTATGTAAAATCTATTTTATATATAGAAGTAAAAAAAGTACCTAGTTATATGTATCTTTAATCAAAGAATAAATCTGGGTGGTCAAAAAATTTCAGGTTTTAAGTAAAATAATTTCGTCTTCTATGAAAAACTATTTTGACTTTTTTTTCCGAAATTATAATTTCGGGGCTCCAAAATAATTTTGCGTGCAAGTATACTCTAGATTATATAATATAGACTTTACTTATAATTTATAAACAAATGCAAAGGAATAAATAAACATGTGTATAACTTATTTATAGACAAGATAAAGATTTTATTAAGAAATAAAAAAATACAAAAAGAAATAAAGAAAATAAAGAAATCTATCCTAAGTTTGTTTAAAAATTATCTAAAGATTTTAATCAAAATTTATTAATTATTTCATTGACTAGTTAATTGATCTATTGAATAAATAATTAATTGATTGAAAAGAATTGATCTCTGATACATGAAGAAGAAAAATTAAAGCTACTTTTATAAATATTTCAATTCTATTCTAAAAATATAAATTAATCTATTAATTAATTATATGATGAAAGAAGAAAAAAAGAAAGAAAAAGAAAGAAAATAATAAAATAGACTCAATTCTGATCTTGCTTAGCTTCTTGGTCACTGTGAAAATGGTGGCAATTTAAAACAATTGCATCTTCACTTTGGTAAGTAGTCTTTCGCTAGAAAGAGTGGTTACCATCTAAGCAAAATGACAATTTCCGCAGTAATCCGCAGTAGACCGTAGCATCTGCAGTTTGCAGTATATCAGAAGTCACGTGACATGTGATAGGTACAGCTAAAAGAAATTATAAATATAGGTAGGAAAAGAGAATAAAGAATCAAGATTTTTAGAATAAATTTAGGACAGAGGGGATAGTGAAAGAAATGAAAATGAAATGGATAATACAAGGTAAGTGGATAAATGAAAGTAAGTGGATAAATGAAGGTAAGTAGTAATAAGTATTAATAAGTAATATCAAGAAATTAGAAAAAGAAGAAGGGAGGGTGGTGACAATTAAAAGGAAAACTATATAGACGGAGATTAATGGTAACAGGGCGTGATAGATGGGAATGATAATGAAAATATGATAACAACGAAAAGGGTAAAAAAATATAGTAACAATGTAGAAACAAGATGGAATTCCAGTTATCTTGCATAGAAACATCTAATTAAAATTAAAGATCTTATTGAAATTATGACAACTACTATGATGATTGATTCAAATCTTTCAACAAGGTATGATGACAGATGATTAAAAAGTATAAATTTAACAAAAGAGGAATGGCAAGCAATTGATGAATTAATTATAATTTTAGAAGATTTTGCTAAAGCAACTGAATACTTGAGTGGAAGTAAATATATCACTATTAGTTTGATGTATAGTATATTAGAAATAATTAGTCAAAAATTATTACCTGAAATTGTAGATTTAAGTAATTCAAATATAGCTTTTGATGATAATATAAGTTATAATGATGTATCAGAAGATGATAATGAACTTATTACTGGCAGAAAAATTAGTATTAATACATTACAAAATTGTTTAAATTTAAAAAAACAAGTTAAAACTGTACTATATAATGTCATTAAACATTATTGAAAAGTTCCACAAGAACATGGAATATTAGTTACATTATTAGATTCCAGATTTAAAGATTTAGAATTTGCTTTAGAAAAAATATGCATTAAAACTTTGGAACAATTCAAAAAGCTTATCAAAATATAAAAAATTTAACTAATGATAATCAAGAAATTGAATATAGTTTAGTTAAATCTAATTCATTTTTAGCAAGAATGTTTCAAAACAACAATAATATTGAAGAAGTAGATAATTATTTAGCATTA